CAGCCAAGTACAAATATATTCCAAAAGGAATTCCTGTTCGACCCATTTGTTGCGGATTATTAATACTTTAGTCTCCCGCTTAGAGTTCGAGGTTGTTATGCGATCCATCTTCATTTTGCGATTCATTTTATTTAAACTAAAGAAACAGCCAATTCGCATTACTGAAAAAAAAAAAATAAAGATTCTTTTGCAAGTAAGAAGGCTTCCGTTTTTCCATTTTTCTGCCAACATTCTCCACTCGTTAATGCCTTTTCCGAACACCTTGACGTTTTTTTTGTTTGACATGCTTTTGCTCTTTTGAAAGGGCCACCTTTCTGAAGGATTTGCCCATTATTTCAGATTTTCCTCCTCACTTTGGAAACTTGAGCTTAAGTCTGTGTAAATGAAGAACGCCCTTAAGGCATCTTACAGCTGTCGCCCATTTTTACCCAATGCCAGGACGAACAATAATTTACCGAAAATCATCTTCAGCCACGCCCACGACGTTATGCCAACCGCATAACGAAGCTTATTTTGTGCCTGGCATTACAATAATTTTATTTAATAATACATATATTTTTAATTTAGAACAAATGTAGTCAAAAAAAAATTGGAAGTTTACAATTTTAGAAAATTAAGTTACATAAACAAAAGGCCAATAATTTCTTAAATTGTTAATATGCAAATCCTCCTGCTCCGTCAATTCAATATTTGAGCAATGTTTTAAGTGTTCCAGTGTTTGGAACAGAGAAATAAATTATTTTCAGTTAATTAGTCTGCTGAAGAACAGAAGCCCAGCAACTGCTGCGGGACAGGCAACGGCATGAAAAGCCTCATTAAGGATATCCCCCTTGGGAAAAACCATCGCCGCTTCTATTTTACGCACTTTACAGTTTTAATTTAATTAGAGTCGATAAAGCATGTGTTTATTGTGCGTCAAAAATTAAAGTGTTCACTATTTTCCTCAAGTCTGATGTCATTTAAAGCAACTCTAAATCCTATATACACATATATAAGTGAAAAAACTCTGAGTTCGATCTACACCCCCAACAAAAATAAGCCCAAGCTTAAAATAAAAAAAAGAAAGGAAGCGGCAAGCCGAAGCTTATATACCCTTGAAGTCATCAAATATGTCGATCAAAATGCATAAGGGCTAAACAACATCGAAGCTATGACGATTTTTCTATTAATTTTCCATATTTTCGAATATTCGTATGGCAGCTATATGATATAGTGGTCCGATTTTGATTAAATTTAATATGTAATTCAAGAGTACTTAGAAAACTCTATATTCCAAAAATTATGCTTGTCTGATGAAAAACAACGATGTTATAATTTTATTTCCCGTATTTCTATATAGATTTTTTAATCTTTCCTATGGCAGCTATATGATAACGTTGTCGGATTTTAATGAAAATCGATTTAAGGGTTATTAAAAAACTCCATGTTTTGAAAATCATGCCCATTATTTATATACACATATATTTTTCGATCTTTTGTATGGCAGCTATATGATAGAGTTATCCGATTTTGATAAAATTTTAGCCGAAATTCTAGAAGAAATCAAATCGATCTGATCAATAACAACGGCGTGAGAATTTTTTATTTCATTCTCTCGTATGCGAGCTATCCTATATAGTCGCCCGATCCGGACAGTTCCGACATATATACTGCGTGCAATAACTACACACCTTTTGGGAAAGTTTTAGCAAGATAGCTTTAAAACTGAGAGACTAGTTTGCGCGGAAACGGACAGGAGGACAGACGGACAGACGTATTTCGATTCAGATGGTGATGCTGATCAAGAATATATATACTTTATCGGGTCTGAGGTGCTTCCTTCACTGCGTTGCAAACTTCTGACTGAAATTATAATACCCTTTTGCTCTGCAAGGGTATAATAAAAGCAAAGATTTGCCTCACATTTCTTTGAATTTACATTTTGAAGCCAAAATTATTCACAACGGTAGAGAAAAAGCGAATAAAAGCAAAGTTTGGATACTCCACTTAAAAATAATAGAATTTGCATTTTGACTTGTTGATTTTTGGTTTCAGGTCGCCACCTTTGTCTTTAGAGAACGCATGGAGCTTGCTTGCTTCTGGGGGTGCAGAAATTAGCCTGCCACTCAAAGGCTCCCAGGACTATAAGAAATTATAGGATGCCAGCACAAATAAGGAGGAAAACAAGCCTGGAGATAGGCAAAATTCGCTACGAAAAATTCGTCGGGATTCCTGGGAGTTAATACAATTCACATAGGTGGGCAGAAAAACGTTACCCAAAAAAAAAAAACACATATTTCATTAGAACTTTCCAGAAAATATCCTTTCTGAATCACAGTTTTTTATTGTGATTTGTAAGAAATTTTTTTGCTGCGAAATTGAACTATTGAAGTAAACGAAGCGGGTCTTCAAAACATTTTGCAAAGAAGATAGAAACTGTTACATTTAGCTAATATAATGTAATCAGATCAAATAATATAATCAGAAAAATGTAAATTCCAAAACTGGATGAGTGGCAGAGTATAAATCTAGATAAGAATGTCTGCACCTGTGGCATATATGTAAAAGCCCCCTACTACTTTCCATTTCATTATTGCCGACTTAGGACTTGGCAAAATTATGTTTATATACGGACAGATTTATGCTGAGTATGCGTAAAATTAGCTTGGAAAAATTTGGACAGCGACAGCGCTTTTACCACCCTCTTTTCCTTAAATTATCCATAATTTCTCTGGCTTTCTCTGGGTGGTTAAATTTCCGGTTGCCCCCTACATTACCTCAACTTCATCTGCTGCAAAAAAAGCTTAAGCCCTGGGCAAACATACACCGAGAAAAAGGGGGAGAAAGCTTAAAGAAGTCGGCGAAAGTGGAGGGAAAGAGTAAGTGGCTGCCCAAGGTCTTGCGGGTTTTCTTGGCGCTAAGATCTCCAGGAATTTTTCACACACAAACCCTCCTTTCGTTATTTCCATCTCCTTTCCTCTACTATTTCCATCTTTTTTACACTGCCAAGTGGTTATTTTGTACACTCGCTCTTTTGTTTTATTTGTTATACTCGTATATATAAATAGGTGTTTGTCCTGTCGTTGTAGCGATTCCCTTGTAAATCATGAAACATTTTTGGTTTTTGAATAACAAAATAGATTTAGTGATATGTTGGGGTCAAATCAAAATCAAAAGTTTTCGTTGAGTATTATGAAATAATTAGAACATAAACAGTGTTTTGCACACTAAAAGTGCTGCATTTGTTTTACAACTAGCTAGTTCTTGTAATAAAAAACATTGTTGCAAACTCTTTAAGTGCCTTACTCTATCAAATTGAATTCCAGTGGCGCTAAATCATTTCCCATCAACTTTTGCACACACGAACAGCCAGAAAATACTTGAAGACGAATAACCAAGCTGAGTAAAAGATATTGAAAAGTTTTCCAGAAAGTTATTATTACTTTAATTTAGTGTGCAGTTGATGTGAACTGAACGTTCAACTGTTCGGTTTTTTGAGATATATATGGGGAAGGTCTTTTCGAAAGCGAAATTTCTGTATCCACGAAAGCCCCAAAAGCACTTTTAGCCGTTTCGGTTCCATTTTTTTTTATAAAATGTTCCGTCTTTTGCAAAGATAATGCGATCGCTTTTCGCAACACTCTATTTTTTACTTCCCAATATCAGCAGGACAACAAAAAAGTATGATGAGATTAAACGGATTAATATTTTTTGCTTAAATTTTTTCTGGCTTTTCTAAGAAGACTAAATACAATATTTGTATTTATCAGATTAACGATAAGTTTCTAATACATTTTTAGATAATTATAATTTATAATTAATCATAATTTATAATTATATATAAGCTATTAATAAAGGCTATATGGCTATACAACATTTCACTGCGTTCTTTAAATGCCGATGCTTTGATAACAATTTTGCTAATGGGCCAAATTTGTTGCCACCGTAGAAGCGCCAAAGAACTTCCAAGCGAAAGCAGTCATTAAAGGACGTAAAAGGACATGAAAGGAAGACAAGGAAGAATAAAACTATAATGTAGCAAAAACCAAAGACGCCAGTTCCTAAAAACTTTAAGAAAGTGAGCGGAAAATGATACTGGGTAAAGGGAAAACTGCTAAGGAAACGATGCTAGAGTCGCGGTTAGATAACCAGGAGAGCCGACGCGGTTGAAAAGTGCTTATTTTTCTGAACCTGGCTGATACAACACAAAAATGTGATACGAAAGCATTTCAGCTTAAATGGGCCAAAAAGACCCATGTGTCCTGCCTCTTAGTTAATGTGGTAGGCCACGAACCAAAAGTCTGCACAAAAGCGACTCAAACTTGCAATCCTGTTAAGGCCCAGTAGTCTCTAAAAATTATCTCACTGAGTATTTGAGAAACTTAACCGAAATGAGAGAAAATTCGGTGAGTGTGAATCAAAAATCAAAAGTTGTTAACTGAACAGTACTGAAATAAGAACACAACAAATATGACTAAAATTACATTAGAAGTTTGAGTAACAATTTTTTTTTTGTAAATTAATTTACTATGAGAGTCATGCTGTACTTTTTTTTGGTAAATTTTTCTCTGGTTTTCATACAATTGCAAACTTGCTACCAAAAATGTTCTCTTAAATCACAAAACCTGCTCAATGTTGAGGAACAAAGAGGGAAACATCTCTTCAGCCCGGACTACTATTTTCAACGCACGCGCCATTCTCAAGCGGCAGAACGATAAAATTCAATAAAAATAAGGCAGGAAAACGTTTTCCGTCAGCGGTCAGCTTCTGGCCTTTATTTAACAGTAGGAAAACTTAACGCAAACTAGTCCTCAAAAGAAGACTTCAGCCCCAAACCTATTCCGGTTTTCGAGAGAACGGCAATACATATTTTTGACGATATTGTTTTTTTTGTTTTAACTCAATATTCAAACGGAAACGAAGTGCGATATTTTAATTGCTTGGGATTCTGAAACTCGTTGTTTTGCCAGGGGGTTGTGGAGGGTGGGGGTTTGTTGGTGGTGCCAGAGAAGGTCACTTACCTTTGTCTCCACGAATTCTGCTCTGGTTTTCCCTCTCTGCAAAATGCCGCCTATGATTTTTAGATGTTTATTTTGTTTGCATGTTTTTTAGCCTTTATGATTTTAACTTGATTTATATTTACATTTATTCGCGATATTTTATTTATTTATTGGCTTTATTCGTTTTTATACTAAGTTTAAAGACACTTTTTTTATTTGCTTGGTTGTTTGCCTTTATTTTATATAAGTTTTGGCACTTTATGCATTTAACTTTTAACTCAAATCTTAAATATGGTTTTTTTCGTTCGCACACACATAAGCACTAAAAAAAATTGTTTCAACACAAGTTTCATTGCATATTTATATAAATTCCATAGATATTGCAGCAATAAGTTCGCGGTAGTTATTTAATGAATAATATTTATTTTGTGGTTTTGCGAATGACATTCCCGCATGCTGCTACTTCTGCTGCGGCCAAAGAAAACTGCCTTTTCCGCGTTACATTTGTTGTTGTTTGTCCTTCTTTGTTGTTGTCGTTTTTTTTATGTTCTACTGCGATTGTTGTTGTTTCGTCCCTTTTCCGCCTTTTTGCTCTTTTGACAGTTTTGCACGAAAAAACCCTCTTTCTGCGAAAAGGCCGCTATAAAAAGTGCGCAGTCGCCTCTCTTTCACTCGATTTTTACACTCAAAAACTCACCTCAAACCAAAGTTTTGTTATTTTCCAGATGCCGAGTACTCTTTGCCGTTAATCAGCTTCCTTTGGCTTATCGCTTAAATTACGGCTTTTGGTATTTAAGCACAGTAACCGAAAAAAAAAAAAAAAAATAAGAAGTCAAAGACTTTTGGGTGTTATTTTAATTAACCAAAATAATATTTTTCAGCACGCGTTAATCATCAATCAAGCACTTTGTCAACCACAGACTGTAAACAATTGAAATTAATTACTTTTATATAATATATATTGTGTATTCGTATGTGCTGAAACATACACGCCCGCTCAGATAAGTGATCTTATCGGTTGCTTAGACCGCAATTTTACTACAACTATATTCTTTTTTTTATATTATTTGTTTGTAATCTGTTTCCGTTTTTGTTGTTTTCGGTTATAGAAGCCCTGGAGATGATCGCTCAAGCACAACGCGCCGGAATGAACTGAAATCTCACTGAAATTGAATCAAGCCCGCAGCCTCTGAATTTAAAATAGAAAAAATGGAAAAATAGAAAACAGAACTGAAAACTGAACGTCGGAGAGGGACGGTCGATTTTAATCGCACACGCAAAAAAGTCATAATAAAATTGAAACTGAAAATGGGAAGCAAAAACATCATCAAACGCGAGAGAAAATTAAGCGGAGGAAATAAGAAATCACGAAACAAAACAAATCAGAATTTGGGTTAAACAAAAATGATCACATATTTTTTTAATAGCACTTTGGATCCCAATAAGTTTATGTTTTTCCTTTAAAGCATTTTTTTCTATTAACTGGAAAATTTTATAAGCAAAAAAAAAACACATTTAATTACTTAAGCAAAACATTGGCATCAAGGGCTGGCTGTACGAAATCTGACAATAAATTTGTGAATAAATTTTAAAAGTCAATAAATAACACATAGATATTGGGATAGTCCAAGTTTATTGATCGGCCGCCAACCAAAAAGCTCTAACTAGTTCGCAAACACACTTCATCAGATAATTATTTACTAAAATATACTGCGTTAGAGAGATGTCTTTTCGTTTTTGCAGATTTACGAGGGCAAATCTTTTTAAATGTAAAATATTTAAGCAATAATTTTAAAATCAGCCATGATGTACTATAACATTGCCAATGTCTGCAAAGCCACAAATAGATTCTTATCAGGTCCATTAGCAGATAAAATCAACCAGATAACTGCTCATCTAATGATCATTATAGAACATTATAAAACTTGTTTAGATAACTTTATCACAGCTGCCTAAATGATAAGATATCTCCCAGATCGAGTACGATCTCTAGGAATCTTTTAATTGCAATACGGGTTCGATTTTTTTTCCTAAATTCAATTCAGACGCAAATATAGTGCGTAATGTTGTTGTTTTTGTTCTGGTTGTTTAATGAAGATGACAATCACGATCACGATCACGATCTTTTTCTTATTTGATTTTATTGCGGAATAAAAAAATATTTGTTTATGGCTGCCACTTGGCTCGCCGTCATTATTGTTATTACTATTATTATATTAATGGTTATTGTCATTACTATTGACATTACTTATTGTTATTGTTATAAATCGAAATAACCGAGGGAAAGGTGCTCGGCTAAAAGTGGGAGGAGAAATAAAAAAAGGGAAATACTCGTAGGATAAAAAATAGACCACCACAATAAATACCATTCAAAAAAACGCCTATTAATTATTTATTTCTGTTTACATTAAAAAACCGTAAAAAAATAAATAAATAAAAAAACAATATATTTACTTTTGTTTGGTTGTAGAAAAAGTTTTTCCTCTATCTAATCAATTGATTTAACATATTATCAACATGCTATCAGACTGTCATTAAGGGGTATTAACCGAAATGCTATAAAGTGATAAATAAACAAATTCAAGTAAATATTTTGCTCTTGTTTGTTTTGTTCTTATGTTCAAAAACTTAGTAGACTGATACCAAAAATTGTTTTAAGTTTTTGTTAATAATTTTATAAAAATAAATACGAAAATAATAATTATGACCACTTTCCCAAAGCGCAGTCGGGAAAATACGGTGCACTTTTGTAGCCATTGACGTTGTTAACGATTTTCAAATACCGCGCGGCAGCTGATACCGCCTTCTGAGGCTTCTTACTTAATGTCGTCAGTAGCAACGTTGCCAGCAAAAGAATATTGTTATTTCTGTTTGTTTGACCCTCGCTTTGTACGGGTTTCGTTTAGGTTTTTGTTTGCCCCCAAACGCTCTATCAGTTGGAAGTTCTGCAAATTCTGATAAGAAGTACTCTACCCCACACCACCCTTTTTCCAGATAGTGCACGTTGATTTACCGGAATCGGAAATCGGTCAGTAAACGGCTGGGTGCTTACCACATGGCTCATTACCAAATTGAAGCAAGCACCGCGGCGAAGGCACCAGTAATTGTACGTTCAAAATTTAGAACATATAATAGGAAGGTCGTTTATGTTTAACTGAAACAAAAACAATGCGAGTACAAAAATATTTGACATTATGGATTATGGCATCTCCATCCATAAGGGTTTTATATCTTGTTTCTAATTTAATTTCACAATAAATTATCTCTGCCTTCCACTGTTCCCCCACAAAACACACTTCAACCCGAGTGTGACATTTGATTGGATTTTTGGATATAATTCATTTTAAAAATCTGTTTCTTATTTTTGGTTCGATTTGCTAATAAGAATTTAGTATATATAGACAGATATATATATGTATATATATATATTTATATGCAATGCTCTGCGCAACACGTATAAAATATGTGCACACAGCCACATGTATCGGCTATACCTATCATCATCATAGATATAATTTGCACATATTGATATATGCGCTACTCGTTGGTTGTTGCTGTTCCTACCGACTAAATGCGTCAATTAAATATAAAAAGTATTATTAAAAAAAAAAATAAGGAAAAGTGTGAGAAAGATACAGATTGAAAGATTATCACCTCCACATTGGAATTATAAATAAAATGGCATTATGAATTGAACGAGTTGCAGGTGCATACAAAAGGCAAAAAAATACATATTTAAATTTTTGCGTTGAAAGATTTAGAGGCCAAAAAACCGTAGTATTTTAAAAACTATTTTTCCAAGGTCTATACAAATACATAAATACGATATGCATTTACTTGCCTATTCTGCAAATGTTTAAATTATTTGCAATTCGCTTTTCGGATTTTTATGACATTTTTTAATGACATTTTGCTGAAATCGGGTGGGCAAAGGGGCTTTTTATAAAGAAGGTGCCGGGGAATCGGCTGTCTAGCTTGTTACGTGCCTCATTAAGAATGTTCGGTTTTTAATTGACAGAAAAACAAAATCCGCACAGGACTGAGACACGCAGAATTAGTTTCTGTTTATTAAAAATTTCCAATGTTTTTGACTGCTTATTAAATTAAATTTTTCGCCACAATAAATATGCCAGGGTCTAGCAATGGAAAAGTATATATTTCTGTTTTGTATAGATACATTTTCTGAAGAGCTGCGTCTTTAGAAAACATGAATAAATCGGTATACAAAATTAATACAAAAAATTAACCAAAAAAAAATACAAATAATCAATAATAAATGACCGTTTCAAAGTCAAACTTCAACCAGAAATTTCTTATACGATCGCTTTAGGAAAGCTAATATCACATGTTATATTTGCAGTCTTGCCTATAATATTTCACTTTCGTCCCGTTTGATCCGAGGTAAATTCATGAATTATTATTTTTTGTTTTTGTTTACCCATTCTCTGATACTTGCTCAAATTATTTCGTCGTCTTCGCGTTTTTATTAGCACCAATCTGCCAAGTGGATCGCAAAATACTGCGCTTTATGCTACCGCTAGCGCCCCTGCCATTTCATCCTAATTTTATTTAATAATTCTTCCACATTTGAGAACCAAACAAAAAGCGTGAGCAACAGTGTTGCCACACAGAAAAGTTTTCCTTACTTCCAGGGCTTAATGGCTATAGCTACCATTTTTACAATTGGTTTGTATTACTTTCAGACATATTTGTTTTCCAGCCAATCTCGAATTGGATGGCTTTAACTGCGTTGTTTTTCTGTTTTGTTCTTCGGTTAATATGCCATCAGAGCCAAACGAACCGAAGCAACAGGGTCCTTTGCTAAGACCTGCAATTTCTTCGCCCATGAGTTTAGCAACACTTATCAGTACACTTAGTTTAACTGTGCGAGCGTGTGTTTCCCGACAAACTCCAAACTACGTGTTTCAAACCATCGTCCTTGTATAACCGTTACCTCCTTTTAAATGTTTTTTTCGTTTTCTTCGTTCTGTTTCGACTTTGCCAGAGCACTTGCAAAAAACTTAAATGGCAAATCGCGGCACTTGCGAGCGAGCGAGATGGCGAGTCACCGCGCGTGTTTACCGTTAGGCCGAGTGCCGGTTCCCGTTGTCGCGCGTTTTCCGACCGCCAAGCGACGCGTCCACTGCAAACTAAGAGGAAATGAAGGGAAACTCGATGGAAAACATCGATGGAAAACCACGACCGAGCTTGCTTTCCACCTCGCGACCAAGAAAAACACGGTTGAAGCCTCCGGTCGGCCTGTTTTCACCACACTGTTGGACGCCACGCTTTTTCACCAACCAGCCACAAAAGCATTGCCTCCACAAATGATGGTATCGATGTTTGAAATTGTTTGACTTATCGATCCATCGATTCTTAGCAAAACTTCTATCCGATACACCCTCCTTACTTAGCGGGTACATCCTCCTAACCCATCAGAAAGTATGCCAATAATTACCTTGTTTTCCCCCCAGAAATGTCAATCTTTGCGGTTGCAGCGATGAGTGTTCCACAGGGGCGGACGCAGGGGGGGTGTCCGGGGGGTCCGGACCCCCCCCAAAATCTCAGACTTTTTCAAATTCCCTTACAGCACACGGCCTTTCAACCATATAAACTAAAAATTTTTTGATCAGACCCCCCCCAAACGAAAAAATTTTTCGACCGGACCCCCCCAAAATTTTTTTCTGCATCCGCCTCTGGTGTTCCACAACTTCGAACGGGAGGGCGGGGAGAAACATCTCCATCTCTCCGTCTGACCCACCTCCCCTAAAAAGAAAGAGCGGCTCCGTCTTGTGATGCGACACAGAGGCACTTTATTGGGCAACAGCGCTCTTGTGCGGATCGGTCTCCTCGAAGAAGAGCTCCAGCAGGTTCTTTTTGAGCAGCTGGTCCTGGTCCAGGCGCTCCACCCCCGCCAGCGGAGGAGGGCCGGGATGCCGTCCACCGAGTAGGGTGGCTTCCGGAACTCGTTGTCCTTGCCCACCCAGTACTCCCGGCTGCCCACGTCCACCACCAGGATGATGCAGTCGGCGGGGGCGTGCAGGCGGAAGGCGCTCATGATCGTGTCCTCGGCTGCGGAGGAAGCGGGTTAGTGCATTACTGCCTGTGCGTCACGGGGCCTGCAGGGATGGGGGACCTACCAGCGACGCAGTCGGGGCACCAGCTGCGGCCCTGTTTGTCCTTCTCGCCATAGAAGTAGATGTAGATCGGGCTGCGATGGTTCTCGTGCAGCTTCAGCAGGTTCTCCATCTCCTTGAAGCCGCGCGCCGGGACGTATTCGGGCATCTTTCTTGCGGTCTTGCGGTTATCGTGGTTCTTGGGGTTCTCGTGGTTGTTGCGGCTGCGGATCGCAAGTCCAGGTTGATTCCGGAAGATTCGTGATCGCGGCGACTTTTATCACGACCTTATCGCTTTGGATTTCTGGGCTTATCGGCAATCGGAGCAATTCAAGCTCCGGTCTCCCCAATCTCTCTCTCTCTTTCTTCCTCTCACTCTCACTCTTCCTCTTTTGCGCCGTTTTGGAGCCCTGGAAATTACCACCACCGACCGTCTATCGAAACTCTAATTTTTCGGCAACCAAACTTGGGACATTTTGTCTCCAACGAAAATTTCGGCTCGTTTTGTGCCAAAAAAACAATGGATTGTTGGGTTTATCCTTTAAGAAACCTGACTTTAGGTGTCGGGGCTTTTTGGAAAACAAAACAAGCTAAGAGAGCCAACGATCTACCCGTCAAACATTATTATTATAAATTTTATTGGTATTTCAGTTGATGTGGAAGACCCAACCAATTCTGACATTTGAAAAAAGGAATGCGAGTCCGCAGATACTTTGGAATCTTAACAAACAATTCAAGATGGTCACTTCCAAATCATATTTAAGTTTAAGTTACATACATACCTCTGTCCGATTTTTCAAGTCAGCTGTGAGATTTGAATATATGCCTTGATTAAAGATGCTTCATTATTGTAGCATTTCTTTCTTAAACTCCAAAATAGCCCCAAACGCACAATTGGTCGCTGTCGGAAGTTATTTTTAATTTTAAATTTCTGGTACAACTGCCACTGTTGGGAAAAATTCTGCTTAATCAGGGATTGCCCTGACACAGTTTGTCGGTTCTCACAACTTGAACTTCAGGGAAGGTCGCTTAAGTGGAAGAAATGCAAAGGTTCTCCAAAAATGCAACGCAAGTGAAAAATGGCCTATAAAGTAGATGCTGCCCAAGCAGAATCATTCATTCCGCCGGAAGAACCAATATGGGTAAGATCTCGATTGCAAAAAGGTGTACACTCCATGGAATGCGGCCCGATGTGAAACCATCGCTATTTTTCAGCTGCCTTTAGGAACTCCCTACTGCTGGTGACGCTCTTGCTTGCCCTCCACTTGGAGGCCTCGAAGATAGTGTACAAGAAGCCGCTCTACGGGAACAGCAACTCGCTCAAGGAGAAGCGGACGAGAACGAAGAGCGCCAAGCCGGAAAGCCTGCCCACCACCACCGCCGCCGGGGAGGATTGCCCCTCCGCCGTGGAGTTTGTGATTGTGACGACTCCCAGGGGTGATGTTGAGATCAGCTCAGAGGCGGCCAACAACGGCACCAGCACCGCGGAGCCAGCCGTCGAGGATGCCGCTGCGATCTTGGCGGCAGGCTCCTCCAAGTCCGGGGAGCTGAGCACAGTTCCGGTTTCGGTTTCAACTTCGTTTTCCGAGACATCGACAACTGCGAGCAGCCTGGCCAGCACACTTCCCTCGCCGCCGACGCCGGAGTCCTCCTCGGCAGCGCCCCAGCCGGACAACCAGCCGGTTCCCTGCACCTGCGGCGTCTTTCTCTCCTCGCAGATCCCGAACGGCCTGCCCACGAAGCCGCTGATTCACCAGGAACTGGACCGGATGTTCCCCTGCAACGCCATCGGTCGCAAGCAGTGCCAGACGAAATGCCTGGAGGCGGTGAGTACACTGTACAGTATGACCACGACAAACAAACTCACCGCTCGCACATCGCTTCCAGATCGTCCAGCACCTGCCCAACTCCGCGAACATCGTCTGCGCCGCTCTGGGCCACGACTGCCACAAGGAGCGCGCCTACCTGTTCATCAAGAACTGCCACAACCAGTGGGTCAACACCAATCTGCAGGCCGGCAGGGAGTACTGCTGTCGCGGGGGCGTTCCGTACCGGTGCCCCTTGTTGGGCTGAATCTGCCTGCGGGGGTTCAATAAAGAAATTAGACCAATTTATTGTTTGTTTATATTGGGAAATTCGTTCAGGCCTGTGCCCGTGTGACCAGTGTTGGTTGCCGCCTGGGACATAAAAAGCTTAACGATAAATCGACTCACTTCGCTCCAGGTTTCTGTCTCTGCTAACAAGGCTTATTTAGATACAACTCGGTGACCGCTTTGGTCACGATGGGCAGCCCCATTAAATGGGAAAAAATCGTTCAGGAAACAAACAAAGCGACCCTTGACTGTCAACTTCCCTGAGGTAGTAGAGCTGGAAAATCATCGATGTTTACCTATATATATATATGTATATATATATATATGTTTTTCAGAAAAAACACACAGCACAGCGAGACCCTTGTAGGCTTTCGAGGAACCATGGTGTGCGTGCCCTGCTTCATCATTCCACTGCTCCTTTACATCTGGCACAAGTTCGTCCAGCCGATCCTGCTGCGCTACTGGAACCCCTGGGAGAAGAAGGACGCCGAGGGCAACGTGATCAAGAAGGGGCCCGAGTTCCCCTTCGAGTGCAAGGGCGGCGTGTGTCCCTTTGTGCCGGGTGCCGCCAAGAGGGAAGGCACTGCAGAAGGAGGACCCAAGGACCCGGACACCCCGCACTTGGCACCTGCAGCCGGCTCAACGGCGCCAGTGGACGAAGCGCAGAAGGCCAAGAAGGACATTTAGTCGGAGCCCTCCACGAACTATGCCCAACCTGCCCACGGAATCCGCATCTCCGCTTGCCGGCGAGAAAAGCGCACACAACGACACCACCAGGTCGACGTCGTCGTGCTGCGTGGGCGGTTGTTGGATGGGGGCGTGGCCCCGAGGAGCACCTAGAACACTCGACAACTTAGCATAAATTAAACGTACACCCCGACCATACGAATCACCTCTGTTTTTTGTGTTCTGGTGCGGGGGTTAAAGGTTAACTTCGCAAACTGGCTGTGAAAATAAACGGTCCAGTTTTTTCCCAAACTCATTTAAAAAATATCTTAGGGAACCTTTGCCTCAAAATATCCCCACCAGTGTTTCCCAAACTCGTCCGGACCGCAACCCATCTACACGAGAAATTGCAAGATCTATAAGACGATTAGAACCCACCCAAAATCTACCCGCGACCCACACTTAGAGAAATACTGATCTACACAGTAGCAAGAACAGTTCCTTCGAATTAAAAACTCAAATTCGAATTCCCACAAAACGCGGAAGCAAAACACGACGCTTTTAAAATAACTATTAATATTTATTATTTATGTCAGAAAAATCGCATTTACTGTTTCGCTGTTTAGGTTAGGAAAACAAGAATTTTACAATTTACACATTAAAAACTTATGCGAAATACAGACGAAAGAAATTAAAATTAGAGCGAATCGAACAAGAAAGTCGTACTAGCTGACTTTTAGTGTCTTTTTCTACTTTATATTTTTTGAAAATATCTATCCATCCATCAACTTAGATCGAAGGGGTCTTATGTATCTAAAAACTTGGCGTGTTACTGTCTTAATTTCTTGTTGTTTTTGTTTTTGTTTTTGTTTCGGTTTCTTTTTCATTAGCCATTTAATGCTACGTGGTTCTCGCCGGTGATTTTCGTGGGTTCGTGCGTTCGTTCCTTTTGTTTCGACAACTTAAATCGAACAGTTATGAGAATCTTTTTACAGATTAGCTTAGTCAATACGTAATAATACAAAATAGTCATAATAATAATAGTTAAAAAAAAACTTGGTGTAAAAAAAATGTTGGATGCAGAGTACGGCTAACAATTTCGTTTATATAAGCACTTCAGTTTCGGGCCTACGCAACTACGTAACGTACATCTAAATAGAGCGCAGGCCGGGGTAAATGTAGAATTCGGTAAAATCTTAGCCTAGACTTAGGGTCTAGTGAAATAATGGTCGATGGTCGCACGCGCCGACGTGGATCCAGCAGTCCATCAGAATTTGCGCTAAGTTTACGATTACGTTTACGTTTACAGTTACGGTTTACAGTTACGGTTACGGTGATCCTTTTAGCTTTACGTTTAGTTTAGTTGTTTGCGTTTTTGTTTACTTGGAAGCTACGACGACGTTACGACAATAGAATAAAATGCGCCACAAACGAGCTCTTAACGGGTATATCTATGTATATTATGCGATCGGCGCACTGTACAACAAGCGTTAGAATAATTTAAGTTACTACAATTTACGACGCCTCCCCGCCAGAGGAGGATGCGTGTTCGATCTAAAACCTAGGCTTACAGACACTCAAAAAAAAAAAAAGAAGTCGCGAATTCGGAGATTAAGAACTACACTGGAAAGCGCTCAGGCGGAGCCCATCCGCGGACTCTTAAAGAGTCCCTCCTCCCTGTCTTGCGGTGCAAGCAATCCAGCGACGCGATCCGCAATCCGCAGCCCGGACCACGGATCCAGATGCAAGTGCAGATCAAGATAAAGGCGGCCGGAGGGCGGTCAAATGTAGATGGCCTCGGAGCCCTTGTTGGCCTGGTGGCCCCCCGAGATGTAGAGGTTGTTGGCCGCCGGCGACTGGACGCCCTCGCTCCAGTCCGAGTTGCTGCGCGGCGAGGAGGAGGACCAGTGGCCGGGCGACTCCGGCGACGGCGTCGGGTAGCTGTCGAGCGTCTGGACCAGGTGCTGCGGCGTGTGGCCGCCGGAGTGCTGGCTGGGGGGCGTTAGGTACTGGTAGAAGGCCTGCTGGTTGTGCTGCGACGACGGCGACAGCATGTTGGTCGACGGCGAGGAGCCGGACATCGAACTTTGTATCGAGGGCGGATTCATTTGACCCGAGTGAAATGAGTCTGCAGGAGGGAGAAGGCGGGTTAGTCCTAGTCTTCCCTTGGAAGTGCTCCTCAACTCACCCGGAGATCCACAAAATCCATTCAGGTCCAAGCCCGCTGAACCGAACTCGAGGCCTCCGAGTTGCTGCTGCTGCTGTTGCTGCTGGTGTTGCTGCTGCTGCTGCTGATGTTGCTGCTGCTGCTGCTGGTGTTGCTGCTGCTGTTGCTGTTGTTGCTGCTGCTGCTGCTGGGGGGATATCGCCTGCATTATTGCACTGCTTTTCGTGGACTGCGGCGGGGCGAGCATGATGCCCATGTCGCTGCCCGTCGGCGAGATGATGCCCAAGCTGACCGGCGAGTTCTGGGCGCCCCCTCCGCCGACCACGCCCCCGCCTCCGCCGGCGCCGCCCAGCAGGCTGTTCAGGCTGTTGAGGCTGCTGCCGCCGAACTGCTTCTGCTGGGTGGCGTGCCGCATCGCCTGGATGTGCGTGGGGGAGGTGGGCAGGCTGGGTCGCGACTTGGCCGGCGACGGAGAGCCTGGAAGGGAGATTGAGATGGAGGTGGGTTAGTTGGTTACCACAAGAGCTGCAAGGAGGAGACTTACCCAAGTAGGCGTGCGGCGAGAGCGCCAGGCTGCTCTGCACCGAGTGCGGCGGCGACTGGTTCGAGTACGGCGGACTGAGGCCCTGCTCGTGGCCGCTCCCGTTCCCGCCTCCGTTCAGTCCGCCCATGCCGCACAGTCCGCCGGGCAGCACGTTCCGCGGTCCGCCGCCGCCGCTGCTGTTCATGCCGAGTCCCTGTCCCTGACCCTGGTTCTGTCCCTGTCCCTGTCCTTGTCCCTGGCCGCCGAGCAGCTCCTGCTGAAACGGCGAGCCCATCGAGTAGCCGTAGTTGTCCAGCTTGATCATGTCCAGCCCGTTGCTCTGCAGCGACTGCAGCGACTGTGCGTTCTGAAAGAGGAAGAGGTCATCAGTATATATCACCATGACTGGGCTGGAGCACCTACCTTGATGCAGTCCTCATAGCTCGGCGGCTGCTTGGCGCCCGTGCCCGCGCCCGGATTGCCGTTCGCCAGCGGAGCGGCCATCGCGTTCGAGTACATCGAGCTGGTGTCGTAGGGGTTCAGGCCCACTCCCACGCCCACGCCCACCGGGGAGCTGTCCAGCTCGTGGGCCATGGCCACCACGGCCGCCACCGCCGAGTTGGGGGGCGGCGGCGGGCCCACCGCTCCCCCCGGAGTCATCCCCGGGCCGCCGTTCAGTCCGTTGAGGCCAGCGGCCTTTTTTGAGGCCGCGCTCGCCTTCTTGGAGCTCGCCTTGCGCCGCAGGCTGCCCGCCGCGTCCAGGCCGTTGTCCGGAGAGCCCTCGATGAGCTTGGCCTTCTTGGCCGCCTTCTGCTTGGCCGCCTGGCTGCTCTGCTTCCCCCGGCAGCGCCTCCGTTGCCGCTGCTGCCGTTCCCGTTGCCGCCGCCGGCGGAGATGACCGTCGGCTGGGTGATCAGCTGCGGGGGCTGCTGGCCCGGCGGCGAACCGACCATGGCCTGCGGCGCCAGGCTGAGCATCTGCGGGGAGCGCGGCACGTGCTCGTCCAGCAGCCGGACGATGTCGTGGTGGAGGCGCTCGCTGGCGACGTCGCGCGGCAGGCGGTCCATGTGGTCGGTGATCTCGCGGTTGGCGAAGTTGTCGAGCAGCGCCTTGCAGGCCTCGTAGCTGCCCTCGCGGGCGGCGAGGAAGAGCGGCGTCTCGTCCTTGTCGTCCTGGGCGTCGCGGTTGGCGTGGTGCATCAGCAGGATGTTCACCGCCTCCGTGTTGTTCACCGCCGCCGCCCAGTGGAGCGCCGTCTTGCCGGAGTTGTCCGCCGCATTGATGTCCGCGTCGGCGGTGATCAGGTCCTCCACCATGCCCTCGATGGCCAGCCGGGCGGCCAGGATGAGCGGGGTGGTGCCGTCGTGCATGCGCGCGTTCAGATTGGTCGCCCGATTGCGCAGCAGGATCTGGAACACGCCCATCGCGTCGGCGGCCACGGCCGCGTGCAGCGGCGTCCTGCCCGTGTTGTCCTGGCAGTTGGCGTCCGCCCCGGCGTCCAGCAGGCGCTTGGCGGCGTCGGCGCGCGCGAACCTCGCCGCCAGGTGGAGCGACGTCTCGCCCGTCTTGTCCATGGTGGCGTTCAGCTCGGCGCCCTGCGCCAGCAGGTCCGAGATCACCTGGGCGGTGCTGTCCTCGCTGCTCTCCACGTCCTCGCCGGTGTCCAGTCCTCCGCCGCGCACGGCGGCGATCATGAGGGGGTGAGTCCGCAGGGGCCGCGCGCGTCCACGTCGTGCTTGCCGCCGTCCTGGTGCGCCGGCGGCGTCATGATGGCCCGCACGTCGGCCACGTCGAGGTGGGCCTGCGACCAGACGCGCGGGTCCGCCTCCTCGTACTCGCTGACCATCGTGTGGTCGCTGGCGTAGCCGCCGTTGCTGCCCAGTCCCAGTCCGAGTCCCATTCCGAGTCCGGAGGCGGGGTCGCCGCGCTGCCGCTTCGGGAGCGGCATGTCCGACTCGTCGTCCGACCAGTGCGAGTGGGAGTGGGAGCCCGGCTGGCCGAGGCCGACGCCCTGCGCCTGGAGGGCCGCCTGCTTGTTCAGGTTGCGCATCTCCTGGCCGTGGGGGTCGCGCCGGCGGCGGGACATGACCGCGGCGGGAGCGCGGAAGCCCTCGGGGAACCAGGTGACGCCGTGGGCCCGCTTGCGCTGCGTGCTGACCACCATGCCCAGGCAGGCGATCGCCAGGATGACCATGATGATGCCCGCGATCACGTACTTGAAGTTCGCCGCCGGCTCGCCGTCCTCGTAGTCGGGGCTCTGGATGCCGCGGACGCTGTGGATCTGGAAGTCGTTGCGCAGCTGGTGCTTGGCGGCGGTCGCCGCGAGGAACTCGGCCGCCTCGGCGGCGTGCGAGAAGCACTCGGTGCACTTGCGGTTGTCGATCTCCAGGTACACCTGGATGCCCGTCTGGTGGAGCTGCGGCCGCGAGGTGTACAGGATGCGGTTCTTGCGCGCGAAGTCCGTGTCCTCGATCTCGGGCACCGGGACGCGCACGTTGTCCTTCCAGTTGATGATGATGTCATGGCCGAGGGCGTCCTTCTTGAGCCGCACCGTGGTGCGCAGCATGTGGCTCATGTTGCGCAGGAACTGCGCCTGGATCTCCCGGAAGGCCTCCACGTTCATCAGCATCACCACGGACATGGCGCCCTCCGCCAGCACCGGCGACTGGGTCTTGTTCTCGCAGTCCAGCCCGTCCCAGCTGCACTCGGCGTTGTTGCATCCGTAGTCGCAGAAGCCGTCGCCGTAGTGCTTCTGGCAGTAGGCGTCGAAGAGGCTGTCGCAGCTCTTCAGCTTCCGCTCGCAGTCGTGCCCGTCGAAGTGGCAGGCGGCGTTGTTGCACTCCTCGTTGCACTTGCCGTTCTTGAACTTGTTCCAGCACTCGTTCGCCGAGCAGTTCGCCCACGGGTTGATGCCCAGCGAGCAGTCGTTGCCGTCGAAGTTGCACGCGTACGTGTTGCACTCCGCGTCGCACACTCCGTTGCCCCGCTTCTCGCCGCAGCCCCTCTTCTCGCACATCGCCCGCTGCTGCTCCAGGTCGGCCGCGTACCGCTCGCTGCCGCTCGATCCCATCCCGCCGATGATTCCCGCGCCGCCTCCGTTTCCGTTGGCCAGCGAGGAGGAGGACGACGAGGACGAGGCTCCTCCGCCGTTCCAGCCCGGGTAGGCGGCGTCGTAGATGTCGCAGCGCTTGCCGCGCCACTTGCTCGGGCAGAGGCACTCGAAGTCGCCGAGCAGGTCGTCGCAGGCGGCGCCCTGGCCGCACGGATTCGGGGAGCACTCGTCCAGGGTGTCCAGCTCGCAGTGCTCGCCGGCGGTGCCGCGCGGACACTCGCAGCGGTAGCCGAAGCCCTCGTCGGCCACGAGGCAGCTGCCGACGCGGCAGGGGCTCGAGTCGCAGTCCTCGCCGCTCAGCTCGCAGTTCTTGCCGTAGAAGCCGCTGCTGCAGATGCAGTGGTGGCCGCTCTGGCGCAGGCTGCAGTGGCCGCCGTTCTGGCAGGGGCTCTGCGCGCAGAAGTCCACCTTGTGCTCGCAGTGGCGGCCCATGTGGCCCGGCCGGCAGTTGCAGTGGTAGTTGTTCACCAGCTGGACGCAGTCCAGGGTGCCCGCGTTGGAGCACGGGTTGCTCAGGCACTCGTTGATGTCGCCCTCGCAGCGGGCGCCCACGAATCCGGGCTGGCAGACGCACTCGAAGCCGCCGACGCGGTCGATGCAGCTGCCGTTGTTGTGGCAGGCGCCCGGCTTGCAGTCGTCCTTGTTGATCTCGCAGATGATGCCGACGGTGCCGGGCGGGCAGCTGCAGCTGAAGTTCATCACGCGGTCGTGGCAGGTGCCGCCGTTCTGGCACGGATTAGGGGCGCAGTCGTCGATGTTCAGCTCGCAGTTCTGGCCCTGGAAGCCGCGCGGGCAGCTGCACTCGTAGGCGCCGACCAGGTCACGGCAGGTGCCGCCGTTCTGGCACGGCTGCGACTGGCACTCGTCGATCTCCTGCTGGCAGTAGCTGCCCGCGTAGCCCTGGGCGCAGTAGCAGACGTGGCTGTTGCCGTAGTCCTTGCACGTCCCGTTGTTGCACAGCTGCCGCAGGCTGAGCCCCTTGCGGTCGGCCGCGTCCTGGCAGGAGATGGTCTGCACGTCGCACAGCTTGCCCGTCCACCCGGCGGAGCACTTGCAGCTGAACTGGTGCTTCGCCTGGCTGCAGGTCGCCCCGTTCTCGCAGGGGGACTGGCCGCACCAGTCGACGTACTCGCCGCACTGCTTGCCGGTGAACCCGCTGGGGCAGTGGCAGGTGTACTCGTCGCGCTGCTCGTGGCACGTCGCCCCGTTGAGGCAGGGACTCGAGTCGCACTTGTTCAGCTTGTACTGGCAGTTGGCGCCGGAGAAGCCCGCCGGGCAGCTGCAGTTGTACCCGTTGATCCCGTCCACGCAGGAGCCGCCGTTCAGGCAGGAGCTCTCCGTGCAGTCCTCGTCGTTCGTCTGGCAGTTGATGCCCGAGAAGCCGAGCGGGCAGGTGCAGGTGTAGCTGTTCACGTACTGGCTGCACGTGGCCCCGTTCTGGCAGGGCTGGCTCAGGCACTCGTTGATGTCCGTCTCGCAGTGCTTGCCGTCGAAGCCGTCCACGCAGAGGCAGCTGTAGTCGCCGATCCCGTCCAGGCAGGTGCCCCCGTTCTGGCAGGGGAACGAGGCGCAGTCGTCCGTGTTCACTGCGCAGTCGCGCCCCTCGTAGCCCTTGGTGCAGAGGCAGCGGTACGAGCCGGGCACGTTCAGGCAGCTGGCCCCGTTGCGGCACGGAGCGCTCAGGGAGCACTCGTCGATGTCCTCGTCGCAGTAGCGGCCCGTGTAGCCCAGCTTGCAGGTGCAGGAGAAGTCGAGGAAGTTGGCGCTCGGCGTGCACTTGGCCTCGTTCTTGCAGCGGCTGCTGGCGCAGGGGTCCATCTTGCTCTCGCAGTCGCGGCCGGTGAAGGGCACCTTGCAGACGCACTTGTAGCCGTTGACCTTGTCGATGCAGGTGCCCCCCGTTGCCGCACGGATTGGCCACGCAGTCGTCGATGTTCGTCTCGCACTTGTGGCCGGTGTAGCCGGGCATGCACTGGCAGCTGAAGGCGTTCAGCTTGTCGTAGCAGGTGCCGCCGTGCTGGCAGGGATTGCTGCTGCACTCGTCGATGTCCAGCTCGCAGCGCTTGCCCGCGTAGCCCGGCGGGCAGTGGCAGATGAACTCGTTGATGCCGTCCTCGCAGCGGCCGGCGTTCACGCACGGGTTCGAGGCGCACTCGTCCACGTCGCTGAGGCAGTGGGCGTCGTAGAAGCCGCGCGGGCACTCGCACTTGTACCCGTTCACCTGGTCGATGCAGACGCCGTTGTTCGCGCACGGGCTGCTCACGCACTCGTCCACGTTCTTCTCGCAGTGCTGGCCGGTGAAGCCCGGCACGCACTGGCACTTGTACGAGTTGATGCCGTCGATGCAGGTGGCCCCGTTGTTGCACGGGTTGCTGTGGCACTCGTTCACGTTCACCTCGCAGTTCTTGCCGCTGGTCCCCGCCTGGCACTGGCAGTAGTAGCTGCCCACCCGGTCCTGGCAGTGGCCGTCGAACTGGCACGGGTTCGACTCGCACTCGTTGATCTGCTTCTGGCAGATGTAGCCCGTGTAGCCGGGGTCGCACAGGCACTTGAAGCTGTTCACGTCGTCGATGCACTTGCCCCGGTGGCACGGGTTCGAGTCGCAGTCGTTGATGTTGATCTCGCAGCTGGTGCCCGTGTAGCCCGGCGGGCACTCGCAGCTGTAGCCGGCGATCGAGTCGTGGCAGATGCCCCGGTTGCGGCACGGCTGCGACTGGCAGTCGTCGATGTTGATCTGGCAGCGGGCGCCGGTGAAGCCCAGCGCACAGCTGCACTTAAAGCCGTTGATCTTGTCGTGGCAGGTGCCGTCGTTCAAGCACGGGTTCGACTGGCACTCGTCGATGTCGATCTCGCACTGGGTGCCGGTGAAGCCCGGCATGCAGACGCACCGGAAGGTGCCCGGGTCGTCCAGGCAGCTGCCCTCGTTCTGGCACGGGTGCGACTCGCACTCGTTGATGTTCGTCTCGCAGCGCGGCCCCGTGAATCCCTGCGAGCAGTTGCAGCGGTAGCTGCCCGGCGTGTTCACGCAGACGCCGTTGTGCTCGCACGGCGATCCCTGGTCGCACTCGTCGATGTCCTCGGAGCAGTCGACGCCCTTGTAGCCGGTCGCGCACGAGCAGGCGTACGAGCCGTTGATGGGGCTCGTGTCGCATATCGCGTCCGCGTGGCACGGGTTCGAGGTGCACGCGTCGTCCAGGTGGCACAGCAGCCCCGTCTTGCCCTTGGTGCACTGGCAGTAGAAGCTGCCGACGCCGTCGATGCACGTCGCTCCGTAGAAGCAGGCCGCCTGCTTGCAGTCGTCCGTGTTGTTGCTGCAGTCCAGGCCCGCCCAACCGTTCACGCAGATGCAGCTGTACGAGCCGTGGGTGTTCGTGCAGGTCGCCCCGTTCTGGCACACCGGGTGCTCCCGCTGCGCGCACTCGTCCACGTCCTCCTGGCAGAACTTGCCGGTGAAGTTCGGTGGGCAGCGGCAGCTGTATTCCGAGATCCCGTCCACGCAGGTGCCGCCATTCTGGCACTTGTGTCCCAGGCAGTCGTCCAGGTTCTGTTCGCAGTTCTTGCCCTCGAAGCCTGCAATGGTCAAGAAATCGTCGTTGTAAGGACATGGATTACCAATTTACTTAACAACTAAAAGGTATTACTGAGGGGGCAATTAGTTTAACAGCGCCGGGACCCATTTTTGTTGGTTGGTATCAGAAAGTTTGTTTTGGTTGCAGAGCAATCGCTGGCAGTGTTGGTCAACAACTCAATTGCATCACAGGAGACATCGATTTCTAGCTATCGATAGCTCTGCCGCAAAACTTTTGAATCAGTGTGACCGTAGCGGGACGACGTGAAAATTACCTCAGTGGACCCTCATTAAAAACGGTTGATACATTTTGTATATCAGAAAACTTTAAAATATGAATAAAGAAATCGTTAACCATCAGACCCTTATAAAACATAATAACCATATTATGAAATAAAACCCTATATTTTATTTGTGTATTTTTATTGAGTTTGTAATATTATTTTTGAATAACTGGATTCAATAATTTGATTGCATATTTATAGGAACCAAATTACTCTTTTGCTTGTCGTGTAAATCACATAAATAAGCATGTGATACACAATAGTAATTTAATAACAACAAACTTAATACAAAACAAATTTTGTATAAACAGTTTTTTTTGCTGAGACCCTTAATAAATTGACAAGCCAAAGTGCATCTGTTCTATTTTCCCTCCAATCCCATACACTCAAACTCTCCTGCCTCTTTCGCACCCACTGCGACATGGAGTGCATAAACAGATTTATGGCAACATCATAAAAATGCTTTACTAATAAACGTTTACAATAACAACAAAAGGAGGAGCGGGTATGCGAAGGAGCCGAACAAAGTGAAACTGCCGCTTAAAATAGTTGTTGTTCTGCAGCTGTGCTGCACATGCTTGCTTCGTGGCTGGCTTTGCTCTGCGGCTCTCTTCTTGGTCTCTCCCTTTTGGGCTGCGCTTCGTTTATAGGCGTCTGCGCATGCGTGCCCCTCTAGCTATTATTCCGCTAGTCTAGCTAGCCACGTTGAAAACAACATTATGTCAGTTTAGTCTAAGATAGCTAGTTTTTAACTATTTTCAACCATCACTACTGCGCATGCGAAGCCTATGGTAAAACAAACGTGTAACAGCAAGGCAAGGCAAGGTAAAAAGCGCGCACACGCACACACACACAGCTGAAAGCAAGAAATAAACACAGACGCACAGCAGAGGCCACACAAAAAGGAAATCGTAAACGAAAAATATTCTTTAAAATAAGTTTTGAAACAGAGATTATTGTATATTCATGCTTTCCAGTTTGTGGTATCAGCACTTCTTGGTAAAAGCCAGTAATAATATTTAAATATTATACAAATATATAAGTGATATGTTTATGTATGTATATATGTTGGATGTTGACTACTATTTCTGTATCCGCTGGTGTAGCATACATGTGGCACTCACACTTACACACACAGCCACAACATGTCTTTCGTTGTTCTTTCCCACGGTCTCATATCTTTGCCCCAATCCTCAGTCGCTGTCGACGTCGCTGCCGCGGTCAACTATCTCGCTCGCACAGCCAAGCCACTTTTTGCCCCCTCTATAGCACAACAATGGAAAAAATGCCGTTTATGCTTCATTTTTTCGCTCTCTTTCTTCGGACTTCGTTCATTGCGCTTTATTTTTTGTAGTATGTGTGTTGGAGGAATTAAATCGCATTTTATGTGCAATGGTATTTTTTTTTTTATAAAACGCGCTCTCTCACTCTCGCACACGAGATTTGTTTTTTAATGGATTTTCTTGCTTGGTCGGTTTTTTTCGTGCCACAAAAGAAGGGCCACAAGTACTCACACCAGAAACTGCATGCGTATGCGGCATTTATTATTATTTTTATAATTTGCAACTGCAACTTGTTGCTGGAGAGGTACAACAAAACAGGGGAAAGAGAAAGAAAAAGGGAGACAAAAACTGGGGGAAAAAGTAGTGACGAAAGTGACATTTGCAGTGTATCCCATAGCACTCACAACTTTTTTCGTTTAAAATCTAATCTTACATTTTATTTTGACAAGCTCCTAAGTTTGATCCTATTTCGTTGTTTGCTTTTTCTCCCCCTTTTCTGCATCAGCTCTTTAACCTTCTGTCGTCAATTGTCGCCCATTCAGTGGGTTTCTTGTTGTAATTTCGTATTCATCATGTAAATTGCTCGCGCTGCATTCACACACACAAGTGTGAGTGTGTTTTGTGTGCAATTTTCAATTAATTCATTTCAATTGATGCGAATTGCTCACGACAATTTACAAGCTGCAGCGAGGGGAGCTAAAACAATTTGATAAGCCATGCACTGTGTGTCTGGCCTTTTAATTGCGCCCAATCAAAAATTCTAATGAGGTGCACAGTAGCAAATGGGAATTGCGAACTAGACCGGATCAGCGAAAGATCGTGTGAAACAGGAACCAACAAAACAAACGCCAGTATCGGAAAATGAGTACTTTGAAAACGATAGTAAAAGCGAGGGGGGCTTGGGCGAGATGGCCACATCCTTCTCCCAAATCCATTTGAAGTTGAATTGTGCAGAATAAATTTTTTGTGCGATTTTTATCGCCTGTTGCACCAATATCACAAACGCTTGTAAAGGTCGTGTGAAAGTGTGTCCCAAGCGGGAATTTGCAATATTTACTGCACTGGGAATTGGTATAACGCCTATTTCGCACTAGGTTGTTGTTGCTGTCTCTTAAACCTAGTTGTTGGCTAATGTTGAGCAATTCCAGCCGAATTACAACAGCCAGCGAAAAACCAAACCAAACAACCAACAACGAAACCGACACGACACGAATCGCCCTGTGGACATCACGTTGCACTAAGAGTGGATAATGGGAGGGGTGGGGAGTGGGAGGGGGAGGCTCAGGTCGGAGTTGCACTCATTATGCAAATAAAGAAAGAGCAAGAAAACCGAGGTACTGACTGGGGAACCCACCCAGCTGAAGACAATGGTCTCACAATAATAGTTATGACAATAATATTGTAGAGTAATGAGGGATTCAAATAAGAGGAAGCCACCTCCTAACGTAACTCCGATTGTATTGACGCTTCTCTTTGGTTTGGTAACCCCAACCAGCTAACCCTTAAACATCACATTCAATATAGTCGATCAAACCGCTAGTGCTTGTGAGATCGATCGAATGGCCGGCTCCATCTTCCCGTCAACTCCATCTGAATCGAAAACTCTTATGATCTGCGGGGTGGGGGTGGACTGGATGCTTAAGCACAGTTGCGCCCTAAGGAGGTCACGTAACGCAAGCGACCAGGCCAAGAAAGCCGAGGAAAACGCCAGAAGAAGTGGCTGCGAAGGAAGCAGGGAAGCAGGGAAGGAAGAAAGGAAGAAAGACGCGGTGAAGGGGCCACGATCTTTAAATTTGTAATGCGCCCGGAATGGTGGAATGGAATGGGCTGTAATGCAAAAGCCGCAGTCAACACTGATGAATGATGCTGGGCTGGTCAAAAGGGGAGGCAAGGGGTCGCAGCTTACAAACGAGTTTGCCGCTTGTGGCAGCTACTTCAGATACTCCGGCGTGGGCGACTACCTCTCTCTTCCCCCATTTGGCTCGTGGCCAGTCATGAGTCATGACTCCCATTTCCGATAACTGGTTATCGATAGACTGAGAAAACCGAAAACCGAGAAGCGTTCTCATCCGAAAGCGCTGCAGGATTTTCCCCGACTGCGGACTGCTGAGAACCAGGAGCCTCGGGTTGGGTTTGGCCTCGATCGGAAACCGACCTCCAATAACCGTTCCCGAAGAGGGAGTACGCAATTGAAGTTCACTGAAATGGGCGACATAAAAAACTGACTGTGGTAACTTGGTTGTGGGCCACCGTGGGGATGTAAAGATCGGTACTTGGGTGTGGTTCACCAGGATATTGTATGGGAAGCACTAATTGGGTCGATATATCACTGAATACTCCAGAAACAGGGCTTCTAATGCAATTGGTTTCGTGTGACTTACCTTTGGGGCACTTGCAGTCGTAGGAGAGTCCGTTGGACCGGCAAACTCCGCCGTTCTGGCAGGGCGAAGGCGAGCAGGGCTTGTACTTGGTGTCGCAATCCTTTCCCGTGTAGCCCGTGGGACACATGCACCTGGAACAAAAGCGAGAACAGCAATTAAGCGCGGTCAACAGAAATTGAGGTTAAATGCGGGCTGGCGATCTGTCGATCTGGCGGGTGGCTGGCTACCAGAGAAGCCATAAAATCTGTCCCTGGCCCAAACTTCCGTTCTGCAGTTCGAATTCGGAGTTGGATTGGAATCTGGATGTGGATGTGGATGTGGATCTCAATCCACGGCGGCTTAATTCGAACGAGTGTGTTTGTTGTGTGTGTATTGCTTAGAGGAGTTTCGACCGGTTTTTCGGTTGCCACAAAAAAGAAAAAAAAGAAAACAAAAACAAAAACAAAACAAAATACAAAAGATATATAATAAAAAACGAAACATTCCAGTGGAGTATCTCTCTCCGGGACTCTCTTTTTTGTTCACTGTGATTTTGTTCTTCTGCTTCTGCTGCTTCTTCTTCTTTGTTGATTCTTATACTTTTTGTTTAATGTGATTTAAACTTAATTTGCTTGTGCCTTGTAAGCCGAGCGAACCGAAACTCCACTGAAACTGCACCGAGATTCTTGAGAAATGTTTTCCAGCCATTAAAACGGGTTTGGTTTTGTGTTTGGCCGCCTTGGGAGCACCTTAAAAGGCCAACGGACCGGACCACGCCCCTCCCCTCGCTAATTAAGACCATTAAAGAGCATTTAATTAAATTAAACAATTAAAAGGCCCCGGCCGCGAGCCAGCAGCTAGCTCTTTAAAAAGTCAGCATGGCCAAAACAGAACTCTTCGGGGATCCCAATTCTTCGGAGAGACCCCGACACCGCGCTTTTTCTCCCCACTTTTGCCGTGTGTATATATGTGTGTGTATGTGTATGTGTGTATTCCCCATCGCCCTGAAGGTTCGAGTAAATTACGTCGAATTGGAAATTGCCGGTGTCCACGTCCACCGACGAAACAAAACAGAGAAACATTCCGAAAAAATTGATTTTTGATTGACATGTGAAATATAGCAGGTCCGAGGGCCTCTCTCTCTTATTTTGGGATCTCTAAAACGAAGATTGGATTTCGGATTTCGGATTTGGGGTTCGTTGAATTATGGGCTCTTTTTATGGGCGTGGGGCCCTTAATGAGCAAGTGAAATCTGGCAAGATTTTAATTGTTTACAACACGATTCGCAAAGTATTTCATTCCTTTTCTTGATTTCAAGTTTATTATTTGAATATTTAACATTCAAAAGCTGCACTCGATTGCAGGAGTGCAGATCAGATATATTCATTCCGATTGGAATGACTACAGATTCACTTAACGAACACCTATTCACTTAATTATTCGTTTGAGCTCGACCGTTTGTTTCCATTAATAAATTCCCACCAACTGACAGTTGACAAATAAAACCGCTGTCATTGCCAAATTAAAACGAAACAGAAACACCGAAACCCCATAAACTAAGCCATGAGTAAGCTTAGCCGCAGGTTTTAGCATAGAAACATCATAAAGTCCACAAATCGAATATGAAATTTATGCAAATCGCCCTGCCCGCGATTCAACGGTGGCAGAAGATCATTTAGGCCCCATTCACTTCGCGACCGCAACAATTTATCGCGGGGCTCTTACCATTGTTAACAACTAATTGCAATAAATCCATTTTACTGATGCGCAGTATAGAATATGTGGCAATTCTAGAAAACTCCTCTCATTCTACATCTAACACGGGTCCCTATCAATTTAATCTTATGCCGGGAATTGTTTCGAGTGTATACTAATTGCTCTGTAGGCATTCACAGTCAAACTAAACTAAAACAAACAGCAAACACATGTTCGAATCGCACTTTTCGGCTCGAGTGGTTTTTAGTGAAGACATATAGATACATAGATACCCACACACCCGCTGCCTCCTTTGGATAAGTTGTGTGTTTCAGTTTCAAATCAAAAATGCAAATGCTCGAAAAACGAATGAATACCCAACAAAATAATTTAATTTACGTTACTGAACCAGTTCCCAAAAGAGTAAATCGCTGTGTTTGTTGTCTAGACAAAAGACCGCCGGAAATTTGAGACCTTTTGTCCGACTCATTTTCTATAGGTCGATCGCGTTTTGTGCGTTTTAATTAGAGTGGAAACGTTGTCGGGCCAATTGGCCGGCAATTTGTTGTTGGCCTAAACGAAAATCAATAAGCTATGCAAATCGCGCCGAAATGAAATGCGATTTTATAAGTTATTGCTCCTAAACTGTCATTAATTAAAGGAAGCAGCTCCAGTCGAATATGCTAATCGATTGGGGGGCCAAAAAAAGCAGACGCTGCAGAATCAGACGTGTCTGATCTTTTGTCGAACAGAGAAAACAATTTGCACTTGTCAGCTGGAAGTTGAGTTATCACATCGGCGGCCCCTCGATTTATTGATTGGAACTGCGTATTCGAATCTCAATCTCCCTGTGCATTTTCTGTATCTGAGTCACACTCACTGGTAGGATCCATGGGTGTTGACGCAGGTGCCGCCGTACTTGCAGGGGCTCGACTGGCACTCCTCGACGTCCTCGGAGCAGGTGGGCCCGGTGAATCCCGGCGGACAGGAGCAGGTGAAGCCGCCGCTGCCGGCCAGCGCGGTGCAGGTGGCTCCATTGCGGCACGGCGATCCGGCGCACAGGTTCTTCGTCTCGCAGCGCTCTCCTGTGGGTGGAAACGGAAAGCAGGGAAGGGTTGGGTGGTCAGTCGGGCCAGTGGGGTAGGGGTAGGCGTAGAGCAAAGCTCACCTGTGTAGCCGGTGGCGCAGGCGCACGTGTACTCCTGCAGGGTCTTCAGCTGGCAGGTGCCCCCGTTGAGGCAGGTCACGTGGTCGCAGGCGTTCGGCACCGCGATCTCGCAGAGCGACTCGTCGAAGCCCAGCGGACACTGGCAGGAGATGCCCAGGCGGCCGTTGCGGAAGGTCACCTGGCAGGTGCCCCCGTTCTGGCAGCGCCTCGAGTTGCACGGGTTGCGGTGCTCGCAGTGGAAGCCAACGAAGTTCGGGTCGCAGCTGCAATGCAAGGATGGGAAACGGAGACTCGGTTAAGCGGTTTGCCATGCCATCTAAATGGGTAACACCACCCCCTCCCCCTCCCCCCTATCAACTGGGTTCGCACCAGTTTCCCACTGCCCACTGCCCACTGCCACACACACGTTCCCGCTTTCCTGCTTTCGCACACATCTTCTCCGGCCAGTTTATCAACTTGTCGGCTTAGTTGACTGCAGCCAGGAGCCAGGAGCCAGATCTCCGATAAGTCCAGCTCCAGAGAAATCGAGCCTTCGAGGTGTTAATTCTGACAAAGTGGCCCCATTTCCTCTCCGGCTCTGCTCCACAATCCAGTTTCGCTTGGCTGGATCGGTTATCAGTTATAGTCAGCTAACCCGCCAACAAACTAATTGCACCTCCCGCGATCTCTCGAAGCTCCCAAATAGTTATTTGGCTTTAGGTGAAGTGAGTGGCTTGGACCGATCGACAGCAAATCGATCCAATGAGTATCCCACATTCTGCAGAGCTACAAATTAGCTGAGTAATGACAACGATGAGCCATTATCGAATGTTGTTGCTGTTCTACAACGACGACATTGTGCTCTTCCCTTGAGAAAACAATTTTTATGTACGGTAATTTGTGCGCGATCTTGATTGCATATTAAATTTTTTGCCACTGCCGCCGTCGCTTCTTCATCGGCTGCTGCAATGAGAAAATTACACGCATAGCCGATGCAATGCAGTAGTGGCAACAGCAACAGCAACTGCAACTGCAACTGCAGCAGCAGCAGCAGCAGCAGCACGGCAGCAACATACCGAACAAGCAGCAACAAGCAATGAATAATCATTAAGGCGGCTGCTGACCAGCCAGAAAGAAAGAAAAGCGATGGAGCCGATAGATGACGTTGGTTGTTTGGTTGTTGGTTGTTGGCTGATACAGCAGGCGAGGAAAACCGCTTTTCTCTTTCACAGCACTCCTTTTTGCCGCTGCTTCCCGTTACAAGTGTGTGAAAATGCCTCAGATTCAGCATTAATTTGTAGCGATCCCCACTGGCGGCCCTGCCTAGCCCCAAAGTCTGTCGATCCTAATCGGGGATGGCTTGGCTTGCAAATTTCAGCAGAGAGTCCGAATCCGGAGAGTGGCCAGCAAAAACAACGAAGGATTGGGCTGGCAATTAAACCGATTCGGCACTAATTTGCTCCCAGTGCCTCCACGGTGTAGGCTGCAGGCCCTCTGCTCTGATAAGGCCTGGCCAGGAGGAGGGAGGAGCGTTCGAACTGGGTGTCAGCCTGCGCCGCTGCTCAAGGAGAGGGGAGGACGCTGGCTGGATGGAAATTAATGTAATATAAATTATAGCCGGGCCAAGCCGAGTTTTCGTTTCGAGTTGGCCAACTTGTTTCGCGGCGCAAGAGGGAGAGACAGAGACAGTTGTCGGCCAGAAAGAGAGGGCTGGCAGAAAACGTGACTCGCATTGGCAAATAAACCAAGGTAGCCACCGTCAGTGAGTGTGTGTGTGTGTGTGTGAGAGAGACTGGCTTTATCCCCCGGTGCCACTCCCCCTGCCTCCCTCCTGGCTCTTTGGGCCTCCTTAACAAAAGCTGGCCGACAGGAGAATGAGTCACCTCTTCTCGCTCCACGGAGTCGGAGTAAGTTTGAGCGGGTGCAAATGAGTAGGAAGTCGCTGCTGCAACCTAATCGCTGGTTCACTTATAATAACTACAACTATTTCTATTAATTACTATTCCTAGTGGTGATAAGATATGCAACGCCAAATTAAAGCTGCTCGTGAGAAAAGCCGTCGCAGATCGGATCAGATCACTGTTTCTCCATCTGCATCTGCATCTGCAACTGCATCTGTATCTGCATCTGTATCTGTATCTGCATCCGCGTCTCCGCTCGAAACTCAATTTGCGGTCGGCGATTGGAACAGAAATTGTTCACAATCATAACCGACTGCATAGAGTGAGTGTGAAATATGCACTGGAGCAGAGTATATGAGCTCGCTTCTCACGATCGTTCGACTCAAATAGGCAAGGCGACCACAGCAGCTCGGATCGAATGAATTACGGATTTCTGGGCCAGATGGGGGGCGGTCACAGGCTTGGGCAGGCGAATGATTAAATGTCATCGCTCCGCAATCATTCATACTTCTCGACCACTCGCTCTACTATACTATATACTATAAGCATAAGTATATAGTATATATGGCTTCCGCAGCATGTCTTTCGCGTGTTTGATTTCCCCAAAGCAATTCACACGCCTTCTGCACTGTGCAAAAAACATTCTAGCAAATAAACAAAAGGCAGACGCAAAAATATCCACATATGTACGAGTACATGTGCAGTTTTTCGCTGACTCCTGCACTTTATCGCTGGACGGATCGATCGGGAGAGTGCGGGGATCGCCTGACAACAAACAAACTGCTTATCGCCGCAAAAGTCCAGCGAGCTAATGACACTCCGCGGAAATCCCCAAGTCGTTTGACGTGATCCCAGTTTATTGGGAGCTGATAAGACACCGAAAAGCTAGACTTCTTAATACAGATCCTGGTATCCTCTTATCACATCAGTGTTTTACTACACAGTTAACCTTTGAGCCTTTAAAATCTGGCTTGCAATCTCCCTCGGAGATGAAAGGTCTCGCTCTGTTTGGGAATTTTTTAATGGTTTCTGATCTGCGACAGAAAGTGGGAATTGCAACAGATTGGAGTGATCTTCGAACCTATCGGAAATTGTATTAAAGCGCATAAAAGCCCCACTCTCCTTGCTAATAAACCTACTTAAAATATTTAAATTGAGAACCCAATGCTACATTCCAGCTTGCGATACCTTCTCTTTGAGAGCCAGGAGTTTCGAAGGTAAAGGGAGAACAGCGTGATGCCGAGCACACTTATCGCATTACATGCACTCGGCTTTCAGTTTATCAGTTTTCGGTTTTCTGCTTTCGGTTTTCGGCTTTTGCTGAGCGCGTTTTTACGGGGAAATGTGCTGGCTCTCCGCGCAGGTGCAACACGCCCAAACACCCATGCATATGCTCCTCGCCCGATCCGATCCTCCCTGTGCCTGGGCCTTTATCTATCGCTTCCTTTCACCCAGACGTTTGGAGGTATTTGCTTAGCTGTTCAAGAACAATGCGAGAAGGGAGGACGGAGCGAAGAAAGGAAAACAATGCGAAGTGAAGTGAAATGCGTGACCCCGCTCGTCGACTCGCCCAGAAATTTTACACCCAACAAATTTTCTTTCCGTTCTGTTTCCATCCAACACCACACATCTATCCATCCATCCATCCATCCATCCGATTCCAGCTGTTGTTTGCGAAGAGATTTAGGGTCTTCTTCGCTTCGTTCAGTTCGGTTCGGTTCGGTTTTGTTTGATTTCCCATTGTCCGCTGATCAGGTAAGAAATGCATTTTCTGACACTGGTCCGTCAAACGATTTTCACAGGTTCCAGTTTCCAGGTAACGAAAATACCTGACCATTGCGCAACGGGGAGACTTCTTGTCCGAAATCTGTTATACAAAACCCTCCATTCGCCGCCTTTATTCGTTTAATAAAAATGAAAAACATTCCGATAAACATGGGTCATAAAGACGATTTCATGACGGACTTTCCAGCGTGTTTGCCTTATGCAAATGGTGATCAAAACTTTCCCAGTAAAAACTATCGTAATGTTCGTTCTGGAGTTATAGGAGCTTTGTTGGAGCCGTGCTTTACCATCTGGGCTTATGGATTACAAATATGACCAAGGCTTTTGTTCACAAAGAATGGCGTTCGGGTCTTAAGGGTTTTTTAGAAGGGGTTCTCACCGATCGCTGTTAACTATATATAATTTTGAGCTTCCAACTGTTACTCCCACTAGTTAAAGAGCCGACGAAGCTTCGATTGGCGTGTTGAAACGACTTGTCACAGACAGTTGAAAAAACCCAAGGCATTTCCATATGTGCATAATTAAGAGATGTAAGCCTGGGAAAATCTCTCGTTTGAGTTATGAGAAGACAAAGCTCAGATTTATGTAATGCATCATTCCACAATCGATAAATTAACGTTTTGCTCTCTGCGCTTCTTCCTTTCCTTGCCGTCAGCCATCAAGCCATCAAAGCATCAAACCATCCAACCATCCATCCAACCATCATCATTATCAACAGCGTCTCCGACCGGGTCTACTGGGTCTACCGTCTTCAGCGTTTCGTGAGAATGCCCAACTTAATTGAGTTTCAATAAAACGTTTTAATTTGACCAAGGGGGAGAGGCGCGGGGACCTGGCCAAAGGAATTTTGTACGCCAACGCCTCGGCTGCAAAAGCAAAAAAAAGTGAAGAGTTCGACAAAAACAGAGCACTCACACTCACACACACACAAGCTCCGCACCGTGGGGCTCAGAAGAGTTCGGAAGAGGGTCTTCTCTCGAAGAAGAATGTAAAATGCAAGCGGAATGCACAATAAATATTCGCTACGCTTTTCGGGTAGCCAGCCAAGATCTCATGGGATGGGCACCATGCCCCATCCCCCCCTGCCCCCCTCGCTCCCCCGCCCCTTTTACCGCATTGCGCCCCGCGGGACCCTTGTTTCCTTGGAGCTTGTGTAACACAGAAAAGCAATCAGAGCAGGTTGCAAACAAGTTTGCTTTTTCAGCCCGAACATCCGAAGGATGCCCACATCCATACACAGGCACATAAAGACAGTGAAAGAGAGAGAGAAAGAGCCAAAGAGAGAGAGTGAGAGATGTAGGGAGAGAGAGAGAGAGAGAGAGAGACAGATAATAAATATGGCGGCTGCGAGTTAAATGCGTCATCCCAGAGCAGATGAAAAGCTGGCTTTTCTATTGTCAATTGCAGGCCATAAGGCCCTGGGCACCGAGCCCCATGGCCAATGTGCTTAATGATCAGTTAATTAAAGTAATTGTAGGCTGAAAATGCTTTTCCCCTTTTTCACTTTTCGGAAGGGGAAGGGCAAGAAGAAGAAGAAATCGAGAGAAAGAACGAAAAGGAGGAAAGGTAGAAAGCGGAGAACATTTTCAAATGCAAAGCGTGTGAGCCAAAAGTTCAAACAAAAACGAAGACCGTTTCCCTGCGGCGGGCATGTGTGTGTGAGCATTTAGAAACACGCACACACACACACACACACAGGGCAGCTCGAAAACAAAAGACTTAGACAACGAACTTTTCTGGCTCGACGGCTAATTCACTTTCTGGAGATGAAACACGTTTGGATTCGAAGAAACGAATGTTAAGATAATTCGATTGGTTGCAGATTTAAATGGGGTTTGCCCAGCAAGTACATTAGGTGCCCTTAAGCTATAACTTCAACTTAAGTTCGATCGATTCGATCAATCGGTCAATCGATCAATCCCGCCGATCCTGTTCGTGTTCTAAGGCAGCGCAACTGATCAGCTGCCGTTTCGATCTGCAAGTAAACAACTCCCAGTTTCCCCCGATTTTCCTCCGCAGACTACACATGTCAACCGATCCTGGGTCTGTCTTTAGCTATCTTTGGGCAATTACATAAAAGCGCCTGGCTCCGAGCCTTAAACCGCGATGCCAGCGATGCCAGCTCGGCTCCTATGTGCTTCTGCAGCAGACTCTTGGATCTTGGGACCCGTGGACTAGTTTGTTTTGCTTTTGGCCCAAGCTCTCGGCTCTGGCTCTCTCCGCGCGATGATCATCAGAGGCACGATCGAGCCAATGGCCATGTGTATATGTGCTTTCAGCTGGCCTCTCTTTCCCCCAACCGACTTTTTTGGCTTCGGCGATAAGATCGCTTTGAACTTTTGTCTTGAGCTTAAGCTATTAGAGTTGATTTTTCGGTCTTGTGGCTAACTGATCCTCGGATGGTTTGCGGTTGATCCACGCTGATCCATTTACCATTTACCACGTTGTCTTGATTTGGAATTGCTCTGGTTTCTTGCTTTCCTATCTGACCAAAAAGCTTGGCTTTTATTCGGCTCTTGCAATCGCTTTTCCGCCTGCCAGCTTGTTTGTTTAATTGACTCGATTTTTTTTTGCCTTCAGTCTTGTCAATTGTCACGTAGTCTGCTCAATTTTGGCTCTCATCGTCGTCAGAACAATGACTTTGATTCATTTGGCAAGATGTGGGCAAACGGTTAAGAGCCGCAAAGCCAGAAAGCGTTTCTTGCTTGCGGTTTATGACATGTTAATGAGCAGCATCCCTCGCACGGGCCACGCCCCCAGCCCCTCGTTTTGGCGGACTCTTCTTTTGATGTCTTGCTTTTGGCTCTGATGAGTCAGGGACTCCAACAACGAATATTTAGCGCAAAAAAAAGTAATGGAGTTTTTTAAACGCACTGATATAAACTTCTTTATTGACTTGTCAACGGTTGGCACTCTCCGAATCTAACATGATGTTTTGAGAACTTTGCTTTCGAAGCATGAGTCTCCGTCTCCGCCCAGCCGCAATGCAACCCGATCCTAACTTTTGGTGTGTTCTTGCAATGGCTTTTTTAATTATGCCATGTAGGCTGAATGGCTCAATGGCTGAATGGCTTGCTGGCCGGACGGCACAGACTCGTAAAAATCGTTGACGACAGTCTGTCAAAATATATGGATGTGGCGATCGTTTCTCCGGACTCTCTATTTATAATAACTCAGACGGAGTTATGCGTTGCGTACGTGCCGTTTGTTTTGGGCCGCGTTTGATTTATTGCGGAGACAACAGAGAAATAGGCACGGCGAAAACAAGATGAGAAACAAATAAAAGCCAAGAAACAAAATACGAAAGCCGAAACACGAAATACGCGAAGTTCGAAATACGGAATACAAATTACAAAATTCAAAATTCGCCTCGAACCCGAGGCGAGTGAAAATCATGCGAACCGCGCTGAAGGCACGAACCAAAGACTCCCAGAGTCTCGTTTAGGTTCAAACCGATTTGCCAGGAATGTCGCTCGACAACGAGCCCGATTCGATTCGATCCGCAGAGCAGAAGACAGAAGACAGGCGACGGAGGACCGCGGACCCCGGACCGCGGGCACCGCAGACTGTGGACCGGCGACCACCGCTCACTGGGACCAAAGATTGTGCGGGCGCTTTTGTCTCGCCGAGGCGAGCAGCCATTTCCCCCCTTTGTCTAGACGAGCTTCGAGTTAAACTAACACAAGTACACACACACACACACACACACACCGAACAAATCCCTTGTCCTTGGAGTCGAGCTTTTGATTGACACGTGCAGATGCTCCCCAGATCACTCCCCCTTCGGCTGATCGCTTTCGAGAATAGTTGATTTATTTGCATGTCTGCCACTGTACTTACACGCAGTGGGATTTGCCATTGTTTTGTGTGACGCAGGTGCCGCCGTTCTGGCAGCCCGAACTTGTGCAGGAAACGGGGGCCAACGCGGTATCTGCAACGATAATTGAAAGAAAGGATAAGTGACTGGAGATAAGTGTAGACAGGGTAGTATCTAATTAATTATGATCTAAGGGGTTATTCCCTAACCATTGCCAACTCCCCGCCTGCTGCCTTCCGTATCTGTGCGATCATGCCAACTTGTCGCCCATTTACGTCTACTCAACGTGCCACAAGAAGTGGACATTGGAGGGGAAAGAGCGGCGGGGGCTCCGTTCGCAGACGGTCTGGAAATCAATTATGTAGCCTCCTTTTAAGGGCAAACGGGCGGCATGTCAAAGTCGCCCTCCTCGTTCTTGCCGATCACAGATGAGGAGTGAAGAGTTCACTGCACTCGAACTGCCTAGCACTGCAAAAAGTGGTTGGCCGGCCAGGCCAGGAAAGCCGACGCAATCAAATCGAATTTGTGAATTGCAATATGCAAAAGCGCAGAAGAAAGTAAAAAGAAGCGGGCACGCCGAAATTACGCTTGCTCCACTCAAAAGTATATGTATGGCACACGAAATTAAACAAACGAAGCCGCAAACAAGCAGTCCCCCATTTCGCCCCACCTCTCAAGGCTCTGCCATCATATCAATAGGTTTGTACAGTGGGGATCAGAACAATAGCAGATTCGGCTAAACATTCGCAAACACCTACTTTCAAACATTTGAAGTGTTATTTTTCGGAAATGGAGTGGATCTTATTCACATTTACTTCATTTTCAAATGGAACTTTCGCACCTTCTTCACTAGTTTCTTGATCCCAGCTGTGCGCAGTGAATGTTGTTTACTAATTGGGCGTGTGGCGGTTTCCTGCGCTGAATATCGAGGGGAGGGCGGCCGAGGGAGGGAGGGAGGGGGTTCTAAATCAACTGAACTCAGCTCCATGCGGTTCACTTCGGTTCGAGGCGACGACAATAAGTTTTGATTGCCCCCCGCCAGGGGAGTTAAATAAATTGCTTTGTATGCCGAAAGGCGCTCTGGGCGGCGGGGCGTGGCAGGGGTGGGTGTACTTGGAGGGTGCCCACACACACACACACACACACACTTGCACAATGGCCTCCACTGTACCGCACTGCTCGAATGCAAAAGGCTTGCGCTTAGCGCCAATTGAGTGCACAAATCGACAATTCCGGGAAATATCAAGGAAGGCTAAATGAATATTTTTCGCCGTACTTCTGACCAACGTATTTGAATATACGGGTTTTTCTGTAGAAAGAGTTTTTGCGGTGCTCTTTTTAGCTCGCTGGCTTTTGTCTCCTTTAAACATTTACGTTCGACGGCTGGTGGACAGACAAGACGTAACATAAATCCAAAAGATACACCAGATACATGTATGTATGTACGTATGCCCGATTATCTGACTAATGGCGATACATAAATAAAGCTGAGAATGGCGAAAAAGAGATATGTAGCTTCAAATTGAGTCACATCCAATGTGTGCGCAATATTGCAAAATTTATGCAAAAGGAAAAAATGATTGCAGCATACCCAGATGTTGCTCTGCATTCGATTGTCTTCGCTTGGCCGCGAGTGTGTGCGTTGGGTTTGTTTGTAAACTAATTGACCTCAATTAATACAGAAAGCAGATGCAGAAAAAATGCCGCAAATCCAAGGGAGAAGCAGACACATATGTATAACTGAAGCGCAGTGTCAGTTGTGGGTGCAGCCGGCATAAAGTGATCAAAAAGGCTCGCAAGGTGGTTCTAAGTTCTTGCATTGGCTAGCCAAATCAGCTGTATGATTTACTTAGTAAATTAATTAAATTAGCAAATTAAATTAAACAAGTTACGGTTGAAAATCGCGACATAGCTTAAATAAGGTTTCAAGAGGTGTGGCCGGGCTTATGACTCCGTTTAATTAATTTGGCGGCGAAAGGCGGTGAAGTAAGGGACAGAAGAGCACTCAACGCTTCATCGACAGAGCGTAAAAAGATTTTCAGGTAGTTTTTTTATTTCGTTTTTTTTTACCTTTCTGGGCATTTTTTATTGCGTGTGATTTACCGAATATGTATAGTGGGGCAAAGCAAACCTGAGTGGAATTGTTCGGGCCGGCATTTATGCGCCGTTTAAGCAGATGCCTGCGCACATGCTTTTCTGCTTTTCCGCTTTTCCACCGACAAATGAGCTGTTAATTGCTTGACTTGGCCCAGCCGAGTTAAGACCTAATTAAACTTGCTCAACGATATGTGTAATAGAGATTGGCGGTACGTCTTTACAGGCAAATCCGGGGGAGCTCTTCGAGTCACGACATTTCACAATCAACGATGAATGCAGGCGTGACTGTGACTTGCAAATATCCGTGATATTGATCCATGAAAATGGCATGGAAACGAAAGGAAATGTTGCAAGTAATATCCAAGTTATCCCTCTTTTTTAAAGAGCAAAGTCAATGGTTACTCACATTTGTCTAACTCTGTCCTAATCGTAAATAATTTAAGGATCTCTCTACCATTCAACATATTTCTTGAGCTAATAACCGCCTAATAAAGCGTGCATTGAACCACTTGTAATTGTAAAAAAAAAAAACTAACAGCATGGCAAAAAAGGAAGCCAAGACAATAATAAAATATCTCTGTTGGTTTTTTTTCCTTATAAATGGGGCTTATCGAATTAAGTTTTTTTTGCATTACCACATTCAAAAAACAACAATGAAAAAGTGGCAAACGCTATCAGCATAATTAGCAACAACAACAGTTGCGACAAGTAAAACAAAAAGCAACCACACCAAACTCAAAAAAGAAAAACACCAACAAAAGCAACAAAACCAAACCAGGGCCAAAAATTTCTCACGCTTTTCTCTAAGCGAAAAAAATAAATAATAATATGAAAAAACATATCAACAAGAATGTCAGCGAGTGGAGATATAAAACAAAATGGAAAGAGGTTTTATGAATTCCAATTAAAGCCGGGAGAAGATAGTTCAGGGAAAAATATAGTGCTGAACAGGAACAACCACGTGCTTTACTGAATAGGAAACATATAGAATGGATACGATATCGGAAACTGGACCAGAAGCTCTTTAGAACTTATCGCCGTAAAAAATTCTGCCAAGCTACGTTCTTATCTAAACTCGGTTTGTTCTCAGGCGTTCTTCATGTTTATTCATGATTTTTAGTTGACGACTATTTTGACACGATTCGTTGAATGGATAAAACGACCAACTAAGTGAAGAGCCGAACACATTGAAAGATATACCTTTACATAAATCATCAAAATTAAGTTGGGCTTAATAACCATTCTTCGGTTTGAAGGACTTAAATATCGGAAAGTCTAATTGTTTTACCAATTACATATAAATGTTGTATATCTTCTATTCTTCCTTTCAAATTTGCTAAATATAAACGATCGCAGAATGCTTGAAATTTTTTTTAATGGCCTAAACATTTGTGCTGTTCCGATTAACATATCGCGCTCTTTGGCTAAGCATATAACAGTTCAATAAAAGCCGAAAAAATTTCTTTTAATTGTTTATTGATCGTTTACGATCGCTTATCGCTTAGCCCCCGCAAATGTATCTTTTGTTTTCCATTTCCATTGATCTCTTCCCACTCACACAATTGTGCAGATTAATGTCTCAAGCGATGATAAAAGAAGTTCTCATAAGCAATTTGCGTCGCAAAAAACTGCACCAGTGATAAGGTGACTGGGAAAACCAAGCGATGATCGAACCATCATTATTTCTGTGGGAATTGTATATCCAGTGATTCACAATTGGTGAGAGCCAGTAATGTAAAAATGCCTTGAATTTTGAAATATGTGTGGAGACAAATATAAAGGCTAGAAAGGGGTACACAGCTGCGGAGAAAATATTATCGCCAGTTCATTACAAATATTAGATTTTTGTCATGTATTCAAAATGAATTCGAGAACATTTTTAGCAAAAAAAAAAAAAAAAAAGGCTGGACGGTTAAAAGAATTATCGGCTATCGTTTTACTAGCTCCATTTTGTTGTATGTAACCTATTGAGTTCGCTGAACTTTCCCGCCCTTCTCACAACTCCGAATAAAACATATTATTTTGCCCATGGCTGTAAATGCTTAGAAAATATTGGAAAATGAGCGGCATGCAGAGGCGTTGTAACAACAGCAGCAGACAACAAAATGCGGAAAGATTGTAAAGTGTTAATGAAAAAGTAGCCGAGATCGCCGAAGCAGCGAAAACGAAAAGGGGCTGACGGACGGGGAGGGGGAGTGGCACAGGGGCGGGGGGCGTGGTGCGGGGGCAAGTCGTAAAACGAATAAACGAGTGTGGGAACCGTCGTCCACGAAACACGCTCTCGCTCTTTCTTTTGGTCTTTTTGGGTTATGTGGCATGGCAGTTTGCCGCAGCGCTCGCCTCTCTCTTTCTAACACCATCACTCAAGCCGCCTCCCCCTTCCCCCTCCCTCTAGCCATCGCCATCGCCATCTCTATCTGCTGCTAACCTCTTTTGTTGGTCCTAAGCGTCTGCAGCTTTTGATAGATTAATAGGCCACAGTCAACTGTCGTCGGCGATAGCAAAAAGAAAAGGGAAATATGGAGAAAAATATATCGAAATGTAAGTCAAGACTACAATGCTCTTCCCTATCATACAACTTTAAGCAATGGGGGAGGAAGTTTGTGGTTTTGCGGTCTACAAAATTGTTATTGCAACACATGTGTTGGTATAGATTTTGAATTTAACAAATTTTTAATACAGAGAATACAGAGTCAAGCAAAGCCTATACAAATACTAAGGGAAGCATTGAGAGAGGATGTATTCTGAAAGTGTTCTGACCAACATATTGTCAAAATGCAACTTGGCAAACAAAGTATGTAAGCCGCCTTCTTAAGTGGGAAGCCAAACCTTTCACAGTTGAGCGCTGTTTCCACTTGATGATCATACTCGTTCTCCCCCTGTTTTCCACTGACGCGCATTTATTTTCCCACATGAGAAGCTCGGATGATTAGCATAATGCTTAGCCAAATGAAAGATAATATTATGAGAATAATTGACCTACCCGACGATGTAATTGAGTGCATGATAAGGGGGTG